ACTGCAGGATACCTATAGAGTTTGTTTTCTTTGGTAGAGCAATAAACGTTGATTTCTGTCATGATCTTGGTATTACTCCGTTTTAATATGTCATTCAATATTTTGTTAGTCGTTCAGCATATGCATTATCAGATCTAGGAGCTTTTCCATCGTTTAGTTATGATATTGCTTTTTTCACTTCATCTGATGTGATGGGTAAGTGGTCATTAGGTACATGTAGGACGGAGATTGTTCGGACATATTATCACTGACGGACTTCCGGTTATAGAATTTCAACCGGAAGTACTATTTTAAAATCACCGAAATAGTATAAGCGATATATTATTCGATGCGCCTTGGCAAGACGGTAGCAAATATATACTTTCGGTTTTTATATCACTTCCGGTTAAAAAGTTATGACCAAAAGTTTGGCAAAAATGACTCAAAACTGACCAACAGTCAAATTGTTTGTCTTATAAATATTTAGATCACGAACTTATATTTCGAGAGAACTAAACCTGCGAAATGAAAAGACGAATGAATAAAATTAGTATGGGCGGCTTTGGGTAAACTGAGAAGTACGTATTTATAACCAATATATGGATGTGTCCAAAAAGGAAGCTTTTTTAACAATGTGTGCTTCAAGGATTTACTTATGATGCAGAAATTTATTAAATAATATGTGAAAAAAAAATTACGAATGACATTATTAGAGCCAAAACAGGGATTAAAGAGACTGTGGAAAGGATAGCACATGTGAAGTGGAACTGGAATGACGCTAGGTGGACTAAACGTATAATAGAGTCCTAGTTTCAGGAGTAAAGATATGAAGATATACCTCTGATACGGTGGACGGATGATATAAAGACACAACAGACTAGATACACACGACACAAACAGATGAAATAAATAGTATGTTTTGGAGACGATGCTATTATTCCAGGCAGAATGGAGATGATCTCTTACAACGTTTTAATAACCTTTTTGCTTGAATATCACAATATCAAGTGAAAAAAAAAACAAAATATATCATCACTTCTAAAGAACCGATATGATTTAAATTGGAAGTTGACGGAACAGTTGTAGAACAGTCATTGAATTTTGATTATCTGACTATAGAGATATAAAGCTTAAGCAACACGGAAAATGAGTTATGCCAAGTTACAAAAGCTAATAAACAAGGAGGCTGTCTAAACGATATAATATAGAAATAAACATCTTGATATAGACATAAAACAAGATAAAAAATAAGCACAATTTTGATGTACAATGCAGAAGACATGGTGTAAGTAGAAAAAAGGAATAATCGTAACACCGGAGATGAGACATTAACCGAAAAAAATAACCTGCAAAATTTTATATGATATATACGAAAAAAAAAACAGAAAACATTGGAAGGTAGTTCAAAATAGATCTAGTTAACACATGGCTACAAAACGGAAAAATAGGATTTGATAAACATATTGATCAACTAATATTGACTCGAGTAGCGGGTAGACACTTTTCTACGATTCTCGTATAGTAGGTCTGCTTCAGGGAAGCGACCCTGTCCACGCGAGCCACTACTTTGGACTCAATTCCTTACTAAGAGGAATCATGGCCCATCACTTTATCCTTTCAAAATCTAGTTACCTATTTCCCATCCCTCTCTGATGAAGGGCAGCAGCGATCATTAAAACCAGCTCAAGGCGTAGAAGAAATGATTCTGGACAGGCTTGAAACACTAAAAGCATGATTGGAACAGTTTAAATGGTTGTGATACTGCGATGGGGAAGAAAACGGGGAAATCGACCCATTATATTTTCCACAAATCTAAATGGCAGATGAAAACAAGAAAATGGCCCTTTGTTTAGGGAACACCTTAAATGGGGAGATGGTGCGAAGAATCCCCCTGTCAACTGCTATTGAGGTCTAAGGAAGTAGACAGAGAATCGAAATATATGACAGGAGAGTATCATAGTACGCATTGCCATCTAGACTAGGCGGCATCTGTAGAAATTCAGACCATAATGGAAATTTTCCATAGGAAGCTATTTTTTTGCTGGAATCCCTTCAGGATACGCCCAGTATCAATAATCACGATATGCGCCAGTCGCAAACCCTGTGCTAAATTTTTTATTTAACAAAATCTGAAAACAATTAAAAATTTCTCATTTTTTTGCTCTTATTTTCATTTATAATTCGGAAAATATTGATCCTAGAGAAAAAATTATAAGAAGTTAAAAGTTTCGTTATTTAATTTTACACAATATTTCGTTAGCTAGAAATTAAAAATTTAAGGCTTATTGTTAAAAAAATAGCAATAATTGGAAAAAAAAGTACAAAAAATGAAGTTACATCCTTTAAATGTTTTCGACTTTCTAAACTTGACTTACAAGTTCCATATTCCGCCTAGAAAATTTTTTAAATATGTTTAAAACGTGTGCTAAATTTTGTTTAGATCGGTCGGATAGGTTTTGCATAATAATTTTGCAATCCAGCCTACTGGAAAAAAATCGCAAATTTTCAAATTCATAGTAGGCCCTAAATAAGGCCCTCAGATAGTTGCATTTTTTTTACGTATAAAGGAAGTCTCAAACTTTCAAACGCTTTTTGTAAAATTCAAATCGGTTCACTAGGAGGGCCTAAAAATTTTTTAAAAGTTATAAACAATTTTTAGGCTTATAAACAAATTAAATAACTTTACGAGCTTTAACCATATCAATTTCAAAATGTACACACTTAAAGAACATTAAAAGACGCTTCTTTTAAAAAACAAAAAGATACATTCGGCTTACTGGTTGCCGAGATATTGAAGGTCAAAGTTGGCATACATTTGCCATGTAACCATAAGTGATAGAGGGCTCGTTTTTAAACAAATACCCTCGTCTTACCAAATACTTTTTATATGAAAAGTGTTACGTAATGGCAACATCCATAAAAAAGACAAATAAAAAACCGTTTTCGCGTAAAATGTCGCTCGGAATGCATGAGAGGTGGTGGTGAGGGACATTCACTTCAAATGTGAATCGGCGAGTATCAAGTAGGGGACCATCAGTTTGTTTAATTTCGGGTTTTGAAATAAAAACAAATAGTAAAGTGCTCCAAAATCTGTAAGGGCTTGTATTGAAGGCTTGTATGTTATACAAGTAATTGCATTTTTTCTTCATGTTTTTTTTTGAGCTTGCAATTTATACATTAAAGTAAATTGTTACTTTTAGTAAACAAATATGTATGATGTATCACTATTTTCCGAATTATAAATGAAAATAAGAGCAAAAAAATGAGAAATTTTCAATTATTTTCAGATTTTGTTAAATAAAAAATTTAGCACAGGGTTTGCGACTGGCGCATATCGTGATTATCGATACTGGACGTATCCTGAAGGGATTACAGCAAAAAATAGCTTCCTATGGAAAATGTCCAATACAAAACAGATCCCGCCTAGACTAATCTGGAATGTATGTAGCAGGGAAACTTGCAAACACTGAAGCCGAGATGAGAAGAATGAAAATATACATCTTGGGGATGAGTAAAGTAAGATGGCCTGATTCAGAAAAACAAAAGATGTCTATTATCTATTATTCAGGAGGAACCGACCCAGAACATCAATATGGAACGACTTATTAGTATCGGATAAAATTGCGTCTCTACAAAGCAATAATACGCTCAGTCCTAACATATGGTTCAGAGACCTGGACTCAACACAAAGTAATGAAAATAGGTTTTAATGTTTCGAAAGAAAAGTACTAAGGCGAATCTATGAAGCATTGAATGACAATGGAGTGTGAAGAAGACGATACAACTTCGAACTTCATAGAATATACCAGGAACCAGATGTCGTAAAACATCTTAAGATAGGACGTCTGAGGTGGATAGGGCATGTAATGTGGATGGAACAAAATGACCCAGCTAGAACAACGCTCCTTGACAGACCCATTGGACAGAAAAGAGGAAGATCCAGAAAAAGGTTCCTTGATAACATCGATGAAGACATGAGAAATATGGGAATACGGGCTTGGCGGACGAAGGCGATGGATATGACTGGAGAAAAATTATTGAGGAGGCTAGGACCCACGCAGGGTTGTAAGCCAGAATGATGATGATGATAAAATTGTGTCATAGACTTTATCCCTCTAATTGATAGAGTAACAATGTTGAAATTAAGAACAATCCATAGAAACCATATTGTTTTTTAGGTCTATGCTCCAAGAAGTGAAAGTCAGAGGAAGAAATTGAAAAGTTTTAAAACAACTTAGACGAAATATTGCGATTGACAAAAAGAGGCAAGATAAAGATGATTATGAGTAACTTTAACGCAAATATTGGTCGTGGTGCTGAAGGAGACATATAGGAGCATACGGTCTCAGTATTAGAAACAATAGAAAGCTAGATTAGTACAATTTTGTTAGTAGCCAATACCTTCCCTTCTTCAAACATCCTAGAAAGCTATAAACTTGAAAATCACCTGCAGACAGTAAAGATAAAATTGTTAGGAATTAAATGACTTCATTTTGCTCGTTAAAAACTTTAACAAGTACATAAAATCTACTAAAATATACTCTGAAGCTGACATTCACAATTCAGTTATAATGGATTTAGACAAAAAATATTTCTGAAAATTAAAAGGGAAAAAGTGACAAGAAAAATAGACAACACACAACTGAAGAACGCTAAAAAAAAAATGAAATGAGTATCAAGGTTAAGAAAAAAACAGAAACGCTAGAGGACTTGGTACAGTCAGACGTTCAAGTAACATGGACTGCTTTAACATAAAAATAACAAAGATACCAGAATAAGACATCAGGTTCACGAAAAACAACAGAAAGCAAGAATGGATAACACAAGAGATCATGGGCCTCATTGACGTAAGACGAAAACATAAAACAAACATAATACAATACTAACGAATCAATAAAATCATTAGAAAAAAGTGTAGAGAAGACAGCTTGTATAACAGATATTTTTATGACACTCTTTATAGCAGAATCTTGGGGAAAAGAGATATGTTGTAGGTGTACTTAAATAAAAAGACAAACTGTAGCATTTATACAATTTATTTTACGGCCATCTAAACAATAGCTTTAGCGATAACACATCAGTCTTACATTTACATAAATATTTAAGCATTTTAGCATATTAACACACTTTTAGTTTAAATGGTAAGTTTATAATTATTTATTCGGCGAAAATTCAGATCAATAACAAGCTAATCTGGATTTTTTCCAATGAATCTTAACATAATAATATAAAAACATTCTTAAAAACACATTTATAAAAAAAATACATTTGGACAATTAATATTTAAAAAATAATCTCATAAGCAACTGCTTCACTACTAAAATTTACAAATTAAACAATATAATATACTCGAAACCTTTACTCATTTTTTGCGTTTGATATGCATAGAAAACGTTAATAACAGCTTTATAGCAAAAATACCGGACAAAGCTACTTTTTACATTTTATTTGTCCTTTGTTTCTCTTGGATTATTATACGAGATAGATGAATTAAATTGAAAAAATAAATTCTTACAAAATCGCTACATTTTGGTCTGGTACACAGATATGTGTCTTTAAAAAGCTGGATCAAAAAGATTTCTCAAATCTACTGGAAAAATGAGCACCATTGACGTGTGAAAATAATTTATAAAAATAATTGATATTTCATTGGTCTCAGACTTGATTCTTAGAAAAAAATAACACAGTTTGCGCTTAGAATAGGTATATAGTTCAAAACCGCTTTTGCAACATATTGAGATCTGTTGTTTGTCCGCCGCATCAATGTTTCTAGAATAAAAAAATTAAAACTATAGATAAAATGTTAAAAAGTGTAAGCATATATTTATTTTTTGAAGATAGCTCCGATGTATATCATATGGGAATTCAACTTGAAGCCTCCTTTTTAGAATCTGAAAATAAAAACAGATTTTAGAAAAATTCTTTAATTTTAATAATTTAAAATAAATAAAAATATGCTAAATTTATGAGGACCATCAAATGATACTTTCTTTTCTTCTTTTTCCAGACCGAGAAAAAAGTGAAAACATAAGACACACATAAGTTCGGAGATATTAATAACTGAGTATTGAAAAGAAAAACAAGTAAAATTATTACATGGCAAGTAGAACTACTGTTCTTATATTTTTTTATTTCTGGGATTACGAACAAGGTTTTTATTGATTTCGTCAGAACTCCTAACTACAGGAAATGAATGTCAAACATTTAAAACGTTTAAACAAAAACTAATATAAAAAGTACATATATTTGGAATATTTCGAAAAAGGAAAAAAACTATTTTTTGGCATGTCTGAATTTGATGTTGAGCTAGGGATGAAGTAGTATCGGAATGTTTGACTGATATAGAATGTACGTAAATACGGTTATGGATTCGCTCGTTTGTCTGTCCAATGTATGTGGCCAACTAGAACAAGGTATCTCGTTGACACTATGGTCTTCATTGGGGATTTGGCCTTTTACGAATCTGATGAGATTGGACAACTTCGAATGAGGTGTGAAGATGGATTTATTGTTTAGAGGACTAAGACTTTTGCTGATCTTGTCAGTGACACCTTTAATAAAAGGTAGAAAGATTTTGGGTTAATCCAGCGGCAAGGTCTCTTTTTTGGATGTAATAGGGTTTAGATGTTTTTGAATGCTCCTATTGATTTGGGTTTTGTGGTAGCCGTTTTGTGGTAGCCGTTTTGTAAGAGTTTTTGCCTTATTGAGTTGATTTCGGATGACATGCGATTGTTATCGCTAAGTCTTGTGGAACAGGAAATAAGAGTTGATAACTGAATTAAGTTGGGCGGGGTGAAGATGTGACTGGGCACTAAGATAACGATTTGTATGAGTGGGTTTCTGGTATGCGGAATAGGAGAAACTGTGAGGTGGGTTCTTCTGAATAAGAACATCAAGGAATGGCAAAAAATGGCTTCAGACTTAACTTCCATCGTGAATTGAATACTGGGATGTATTCCATTCAGGTGGGAGAGGAAGATATCTAATGTGTCTTTACCATGGGGCCAAATGACAAAGGTGTCATCAACGTACCGTAACCAGCAGGTGGGTTTGAGATTTGTTGAGCACAGGGCTGCTGTTTCGAAATGTTCCATGTAGATATCAGCTGAGGAGATTCTATTGGAGCATCTTTGATTTGACGATAGAAATGATTTTGGAATGAAAAGCCATGTATTAGCCATGCAGTATTTTATAGAAGATAATGTGTTTTGGTAGATTTGATGTTTAGAGTCCAAGATGGAAATGGTTTCATCGATGGGAATGTTGCTGAATAAAGAAACAATGTCAAAACTAATTAGTATATCTGAGGGTGAAATGGAAATGTTTTTTAGAAGATCAATTAAATAAAAAGAGTTTTTGAGAAAAGACGAGGCGTTTTCGGCTAATGGTTGCAATGATAAAGCGAGATGTTTTGCCAATTTCTGAGTGAGGCAATTGTATTCACTGACGATGGATCTTAGGGGAACATTGGGCTTATATAATATATATATGATTTATTCTAGTATGAGTTACTCAAATTTTGACTTTCGACTGGAAGTAACTATACAACCAAGTATATCCAATATTAATTGTGATTTGAAAACTTGAAAATTGTGACTTGTTAAAAACTATGCATTATTACATTCAGTTTATTAACAAATTCAAAATCGTTACTCATAATGAAATTTTTGCAATTTTGAATTAAAATCCATACTGATCATTTAGAATAATTATTCTTTTTTTTTATAATTAAGGAACTCTTTAACAGTGATTTTATATCAGCTACTAATAGTTCAGGATATGACAACCTCGGCAAAACTATGGCAAAATAGTAGAAAAACAAAGATCAAAATCTACCGTATGGCAATATGTGTCTCTGGGGGTGATTACCACCCCAACTCGGGGGGTGAAAAAAAAATTATAAAAAAACAGGGTAGTCACTAGAATAGTGAATTTTAAGATAAAATGTTTTTTTTCGAAAAATCAATATTTTTGGAGTTATGAAGAAATCTATTACAAGCAAAAAATGGATATAGTGTTATGGAATATATGGTTGTATAGCGTATAGTAATATAGAATATCATATAATCTATAGGAACTACTTTGCCCAGCTCACACATTTTTTCTCAATTAAATTTTACTTCTTTACTTTTTACTTAAATTAAACTTCATAAACAACGTAAATTTCTATAAAAGTTGACATAATCAAAATGTCGAATGATTAAAATGATTAAGAGAAAATATCCTACCTGGTGAATCGCCAGCCGAATCACCATTGACAACAGGTTCCTCCTTTTTCTCCTCCTTCGCATTTTCCTCTTTCTTCTCTTCTGGCTCTTTCTTTTCTTCGGAAGATTGCTTCTTCTTATCCTCCTTATTTTTACCCTTAGCTGGAGTAGCCGGTTTCGGTTTCGGTTCTAGACTAGGATCCAAAATAACTTTGCCTACGTTCTTACGGTCATGCATTTTCTGCATCGCTTCAGCAACCTAAAAATTATTATTTGCATTTAAATCCCAGTTTAAAAAATTCATTTGAATGAAAATATTGTACAAAAAAATTTATATAACAAAATCCATTATAGATTATTGATATTTATTTAACAGTATGCTGTCACAATCATACAGTATCGACTAATAAACCAGTTCTGTAAAGATGAGAAATTTTATAAGTCCTAGTATTAATTCACAGGTTCAAGATACCATGTGACAAAAATAAGATTCATAAATTATAATGAACAAACCATATTTAAATTTAGAACCATAGCTAAATGTTCATTACCAAAATTGGACACTGTTGTGCCAATTATGACGTCATTTTAGCTGATTATATTCATATGTCAAATGTTTCAATTACTATACTACTCCCACAGTGGTCTTTGAGTTTTTACTACATAGAATATAGATATTTAGCTAAAAGCGGAGGTGTATAAATTTACGTACTGGACTGAAAGATCTAAAACATGGACGGAAAATAGATAAATTAGGAGACAAGGTAGACTTCGTAGCTGTTTCGATATTTGTGAAGAAAGTAGGTCGAAGCCCACATACTGCGGTCTGGACAGTTGATCGTAGATTTGAAGTGAAAGTTGAGTGTGAGGGTGTGCTGGAGGTATTGGAAGGAACGAAAGGCACAATAATATGTTATATGGATGACCCGAGAACTAAGAAAACCATAGCACGAATGGTCTTCTTGAGTGGTGATCTTTCTGTGTCTGACAGGACTAGCTTTTACCTTGGTGAACATGTTACTGTTTTTCAAGCGGTTACATTGAACTTGCAGGATGCTACTGAGACAATGATCAAAGCTGAAATTCGGATTATGATATAATTATGTATTTAGATAGTCAACCAACTCAGAAAGCGTTGATAAATCCCATCAAATGACAGAGTATTAGAAAACGTGTTTTAAAGCGCTTAACGAGTTCTTCTTCTTAAGGTGCCTGTCCGTTCCGAACGTTGGCGATTATTCTAGCTATGATGACTTTGTTGGTTGCTATACGAAATAGCTGTGTTGAGGTTTTTCTATATCATGCTATCAGGTTAGCAAGCCAGGATATTCTTCTTCGTCCTGGGGCCCGTTTACTCCGTACAGAAGCACTGAGTACAAATAACATTTAAGGAGCCTTATTTTGAATAAGAATGAACGCTGAACACAGAGCTCATAGTCAAGAATGCACCTTTTGCCTTACCGATGTGACATTTAATCTCTTGGACAATTCATTGATAATACTGCGAGACACGTTCAATTCTTATTTGATTCACATACAGATTTGCTGCAGTTATGATTTCCTTGCTGATGATCAGTAGTTAGGTTTTGCTGGTGTTTATATCCAGTCCATATCTTCTAGTTGTTCCCGTTATTTTGTTCATTAAGTTTTGCAGCTCTTCTATGGTATTGGAATACACGTATATCATGTATCATCTGCATACAGCAGGTTATTACTCCATTTATTGAAATGCCTTCATCAATATCTTTTAGAGCCTTTTCAAAAATGTGCTCCGAGTAAAGATTGAATATCAGTGGTGAAATTATGTATATATTACACTCCTCTTAAGATTTTGATCTGATCTGTATATTCTCCATCTATTCGTGGCACTGCTGATTGATTCCAATACAGGTTAGCTATTATTTTTAGGTCTCTTCCATCAGTCCGTGTCCTCTTCAGCACTTCCATAATTTGTTCATGCCTGACTCTATCAAAAGCCTTCTTGCTGACATCTCTATATTTCTTAAAACAATACCTGCACGAGTTTTGTGCACGAGCGCGATTTGTTCTTCTTAACAAGTTGCAGACTAAAAATACATGGAATTCTTGAGGTAGACTGGTCCTCTTTGTACCACTTTGTAGGCGACTGTCCAGCCTTTGTTAACACAAAGCAGCAATGGTTTCACTCTTACGGAAGAGGAGAGGAAGCACAGCTTTCTTATTGTCTACGCACGAAGCGATGGTTTTTAATTTATTTTGTTTTATTGGATGCATAACTTTCTTATCGCGGGTACCAACGGAATGCATTAATCGGTGTGGTGGATAGCGCAAAGGTATGAAAAAATAAAATCAACTGAAACGCAATGTCACGACAGATCGCACGACCACACACTACGTGGAGTAGTAAAGGCAGTCCCATGCCTGTTTCTACACTCTAAATAAAATAAATTTAAAACCATCGCCACTAATTGTTCATCTAAATGCTAAAACTGTGCTTCCCCTCCTCGGTCAATCTCGGAGAACATCTAGTATTTTATTTTATGTAATTTATTTATGTTATTTTATTAAGAAACACGCATCGGACTGCGTTTACTACTCCACGAAGTGTGTATTCGCGCGACTACTTTGCGTTTCAGTTGTTCTGATTTTTTCATACTCTGACCTGCACGATCTACCGCTAAACAAAAACTGTGCTTCCAAAAATCGAAGTATGGAATTAAGTTCTATGAACTTACTACAGAAGAGGGTTCTATGTTAAATTTATAATTTTATAGGGGTGATCGGGTGATCGGTGATCGTAACCATCCAACATCGGGTAAAAGTTCAAGACTGAAAAACTTGTTTTAAGATTATTGGGGCCTTATCTTAATAATAAGCCTATAAATAGTAACAGACAAAAATAGACACCGCATAGACAAACAAAAACCTTCCGAAATCCATGCATATAATCAACATGTCAGGAACTGAAAGAGCCGATTAACTAAGTTCTTATCTGTCCTCGCAAGACAATTAGATAGTACAAAAAGTAATACTCCATTAATTGGATGTTAGTGATTGAAATTCCTTTGTTATATATAAAAAAATGAACAGAAAAAGGACTAAATTTTGCTAGCTTCAGGGAAGCCTTAGTATCATATCTTTTACAGCTTTAAAAAATCTCTGATGGTAGAGTTTTTGTTAAATTTTAACCATCTAAGAAAACATCGTAAAAAACTTATTTGTTTCCCAAATACAGACAGTTTACAAAAGAACAGAAACAAGGTACAGGTGTGAAAGCTGTTCAGTCAAGCCACTTTTATGTCCTGTACCATGTTTTAAATTGTGACATAAACAATCAATTTCTTTCATTTTTTTCATAAATTACAAAAACCTTTATAGAGCACAATAAATACACAAGATATATAAAAAAATATATTTTTTTTATTTTGAATTATCAATCTTTTTGATGGTTTTGAACTCCTATAAGCAATATTTTTTAGATATCGTGTGTAAAAATAAAAAAATTGTGTTCCGTATCAGGTTTAACCCTTAATTCAAGAGAATTCATCAATGTGGTAAGTTACTTTCCGCATTTCAAAACTTTAAAAAAAATAACTAAACATAAAAAGACCACCATTCAACATAATCGACGCGGCTGTTCTGAATATTTCATATTGATGGTACTTAGTTCTATTGTAAATCTACCAAAATAGACGATAATTTACATTACCCTTTGTGACACTGTGACTTCCAAATACTGACATAACTTATTTCATCTAATAATATTAAAATATTAATAAAGAACAACTATCAATGCTCTATAAAAAAACTGTTTATACTTACGTCTTCGAGAGCCCATGTTGAATCTAATAAAGGTTTAATCTTCTTCTCTTGGAATAAAGAAAATACTTTTTGAACAGTCTGCTTGACATACTCGTCACCATGTTGTTGATACATTAAACGTCTTAGGTTAAAACCGGAGAGAGTGCGGTTTTCGTCAAAGAGTTTTAAAGGAGATATCTTGTCAACTTGCCACCACTAAAAACAGAGAAACATGAGTTGGTATAATAATTATAAAGAAAAAGACTCGAATATATAAAACAAATTGAAATTTAAGGAACTTAGTCTGTTGCGGCTGGTGTATTGCATTTTATAATGACACAGACATTGTTTAAATTCAAATATGGTTGTGTAATAATAATATGTATGGTTGTTAATCGATACATTTGTATTTCCTATGTACGTTTTACATCTTATTGCAGGTCTTCCTCTTCGTCTTCTTCCCGGTGGGTCCCAGTCAATTATTCTTTTCACCATCTGTGCTTTGACATTTTTTGTACATGCTCGTATCATTGCAGGTTTTGTTTTCCAACTTTTTTGTAATTGAGCATTCTACTTCCATTCTGGTATATATTTCCTCTGTTCTTATGCTACCCTCTCTGGTGATTTGTAGATATCTTCTCATAAAGTCTAATTCAACGGTATTCTTCCATGAAGTGTTTTCGTAGCTTGTTTTCTTTGTGCTATTTTCAGTTCTATATCTTTTATACAAGTACCATATCGGCTTATCACTGACACCAAATACTTAAATGTTGAACAACTCTTAATATTCTCTTATTATAAAAAATAACTGTTTTAACTTATACAACGGTGTAGATTGTTGGTAAAAATTTTTTGTAAATAATTTCTTATAAATATAAATACTTTTTATTTGACACTTCACGAATTTTATCCCTTTATAAAATTATGTTACCATGCGTGCTTTACCAGGACCACCTTTACTTTCTTACGTTTTCGTTAAAAAATTTAAAATATTAATATTTCTATGTTCCCTCAACTAAGCGTTAACATATTCTTTGTAAATCCTGGTATTGTTTATTTCTTTTAAGTTTTCTGGAGTACTGTTTTAGTTTCGTAAGACTAATATATCAACAGTAATATTGGCTGCCTATATACAAGTAAACAGTTTATTATATTATCTATAGCTACCTGTATCGTACCCAAAAATCAGTTCTAATACATAATTCAAAAATTGAATGTGAAAGGCGACCTCGAAAAAGTGGTTTTTGTTTTTTGTCTTGCTTCGAAATAAACAAATACATATTATATTTTAGACTTGTGCGTTTTAAGATATATATGCATACACTTATTTTGTTTCTATTATTTATCATATATTCCAGTATCGTAAGTACTCTATTTCTGGATGGATAATGGATTATACTCCATTCGGTTTCTCTTCTCGGCTGTGATTTCATTCATTACTTACACTCCAATAGATCTACAAGCCCAAATGAAGTCTTGGTCTCCTCAAAACTATGTCTCCAAACTTGCCGATAACGCGCCAATCTTCTCCAAGTTTTCACAACTCTCACATCTAGCAAATTTTGAGTGTTGGGTGCCACTTCATCCTCCCACCTTTCCGTGGTCTTCTTTTTTGGTCTTGCATCCTGCATTTTACTATCTAGGGCTCTTTTTGACAATCTTTCGGCCTCCATTCTCATTACACTACCAGCCCATCGAAGTCTCATGTAGTTAAACGAATTCTGAGATCGAGGTGCCTCTTTAAAAAACTGGTAGAGTTCATGGTTGTACCTTGACATCCTTACTCATTTTCATTAATAGGTCCAAATACATTCCTTGAGAAATTTCACATCCCTAACATACTATTGGTCTGATAATAGTTTTGTAGAACTGATTTTCGATCTCCAGTGTGTGTTTTTGGAGCAGAACACATGGGCGAGTGAAAAGTAATTCTTTGTTTTCATTTACTATTATTCTTTGAATTTCTGATTCTCCTGTTCCATCCGTGTTTAATGTAACTCCCAGATATGTGTGACTATAACCTCAGTTAAAACTTATCCTGGAGCAGATGTTAACTCAGACCACAATCCGTTAGTTGCTGACGTGAAAATAAAATTAAAAAGAATTGAACTCAGACAACAACAACCAAAAATTAATGTAAGAATGCTAAAATACGAATTAAAAAATAATGAGAATGTTAATATGCAAAAACACTAACCGACAACAAACAAATTCTGGATGTAAATAAAAAGTATAATATAAAAAAACACATTACTGAAACCAGCTCAAGAAAGTTTGATACAACATAGGTCAGAGGCTAAAAAACAGTGGATGACAGAAGAAATACTGTTACAGATGGAAGAAAGAAGGAAATATAAAGGAAAAGATCTTTAGAAGTATAAAGACATACAACGAATAATTAAGGAAAAATCAAAACAGCTAATGAAATCTATTTGATGGAACAATGTAAAGAGATAGAATTACTAGAAACAAAATTAGACCGAGAAAATAAAGTTTTTGAAATCGAAAAATTACTGGACGCGATTTTCCAGGTGGAAAGTGTTGGGGAAGCCTATGGAAACAGCGGCTCATCTCGTGAGTAACGTTTTTTTATTTGGAAAATTGTTTTAAATAATTGATGGATTCGACCGTTACTTGATGGAAATTCATTTTATGTAACAATAAAACACTGAAAACTTTGTTTTCAAACTTCCACAAAATTTATTTTAAATATTATCACTACAGCTGTTTCGGCTGATTGCCTTTCTCAAGTTTCTCACTTGAGAAAGGCAATCAGCCGAAACAGCTGTAGTGATAATATTTAAAATAAATTTTGTGGAAGTTTGAAAACAAAGTTTTCAGTGTTTTATTGTTACGGAAAATTGTTTATTTTAAACTTTTTTGCAAAAAAGTGGTATCTTTTCGTTCGATTCAATATTGCGAAAAACCCACAAGGGTTGGAGAAAAATGGTCCACAGATGATTTTTTCCTCGAGAACTGACGAAGATTTTAAGACTTGCTAAATTGAAATCCATAAATAAATAAAAAAGTTATTGCAAAATTAGTCCAAAAAACATTGTTTTTTACAATTGTTTATAACTTTTTTAATAATGTATAAATTCATTCAAAACTTTATCAAATTATGGGTTTTCAAGTACTTAAACTGTGTGCAAAAGATGGGCGCAATCGGTCAAGTAGTTTTTGCAAAATCCTAATTGTTTATCCCGTTTTCTAAAAAAAGGGTCATGGCTGGGTGGCGACTGCGATGCCCATTTTGGGCTCATTTTCTTCGTTTGGTCGTCAACTATCATGTGCACTTGTGCTTTGTTGACTACGAAAAAGCTTTCGATAAAGTAAGACATGAAAATCTAATATCAATTCTTATAAACAAGCACATTGACAGTAAAATCATAAATAAAGTGCAAACATTATATTGGAACTAAAGTGCCATAGTTCAAATTGATGGGAAACACTCAGAAGAAATGAAGATTTGTAGAGGATGTGTTTTATCGCCACTTTTGTTTAACTTATATTCTGAAGAAATTTTCCAAAACACGCTCAATAATATCAAAGCGGGAGTTACCGTTAACGGAAAATTAATTAACAACTTACGATATGCAGACGACACTGTGATCATAGCAACGCGTATAGAAGATCTACAACATTTTATCGAAAGCTTAAATATGAATAGTGCTGAGATGGAAATTACTATAAACGCTAAAAAACGAAGTATATGCTAACTACAAAAAGACCACAAAATATTCATCACCTATTGACAATCAATGGTAACGTGATAGAACAAGTAGAAAATTATCAGTACTTGGGAACTTTGATCAATGAAACCAATGATCATACTGCAGAAATAAACAGGCGAATAGAGATTGCCAGATCAGCATTTATACGAATCCTAACGTGCAAAAATCTAAATTTGGAGATCAGACTACGTACCATTCGCTGTTATATATTTTCAATATTATTATATGGAGCTGAGACTTGGACATTAAAAAAAAATGCAATTTAAAAAGAATCGAGGTTTTCGAACTCTTGTTATACCGCAGAGTATTGAAAATATCATGGACTGATAGAATTACAAATAAAGAAGTACTGGAGAGGGTTGGTAAAGAAACAGAACTAATCACCACTATACAAACCAGAAAACTGGAATACCTAGGCCACGTGATGAGGGGACCAAAATATGAAATTTTGAGACTTATAATACAGGGAAAGATTCAAGGAAGATCTGTTGGCCGAAGGCAAAACTCATAGTTGAAGAATCTATGTGATTGGTATCAATACAGATCGATTGATTTGTTTAGAGCAGCAAGTTCAAAAATAAAAATAGCCATTGTGATTGCCAACCTCCGTAGGGAGACGGCACTCGAAGAAGATATGAGAAACTTTCTACAGTTTCAATATTATCCTCTAATTCAACTGTGCGTCTGTTTCCCCTAGTTCTTGTCTGCGTTGGCTTTTTTGTCCTTTGAATATTTATGTCTAGTCGGTTCTCTTTTGCCCCTTAGCTTAGATGTTATTCTATTTGATAATAATCTAGTGAAAAGCTCACAAACTGAAATATAAGTGATGTAAGTCGATAGTTCTTCACGTTCCGATTTTTTGTAGATAAGAACATTTGCCTTTTTTCATTTGAAAGTAATTTTTTCTCTCTGTTTTTTCCGGTCAGCCTTAATTATTACTATCTGGACCAGGGACTTTAGTAAATTAAGCAATAATTTGAATTAATTATTTATAAAAAGTTAGAAAATTGACTAATCTATAAGTTCTGATAGAACTAATAGAATTGTGATATTTCTTTTAACTACTTGGCTTTCAGTGAAGTCACAATCTCCTATCGAAGTAGAGATTTTCAAATAAAATAATAATATAAAAAGTGAAATAAAAACATACCGATCTTGCAGCACTGAAGAAACTTTTGGTTTCCCCGGTAACGACGTTGGATGAGCCATACAGAATATATCTGCCCATTGGTTTGAGCAAAGTGTAACCCTTGTTGCATTCCTCGCCACAAAGGCAATCTAAAACAATATCTACACCGTCAGGGGAAACTTTTCTAATTTCACTAGCATAATCAGATCCCCTTTCTAATAAGTGGTCGATGGGTGATTCGGCAGTTTTCAATGCTTCGTGTTTGCCTTTAGAACAAACACCGAAAATAGTAACATCTGGGACGGTCTTGGCTAGTTGTACGATCGCTTGACCCTAAAATAAAACAAAACATTCAGTATACGAAAATAAAAATATATATATATAGTATATGTTATATACTTCTTATGTTAGCCCTAAATACTACCGATATAGAAATATAAACTTTTTAAATTGCTAAAAATTAATTGCGAGAACTGGTAAACAGTAATTTGTCTCGCCTTTGAATTTAATTATATTTAGTTAAAGTGAACCAACAGTAGTTAAGACTAAATTTAAATACTTGCATATTAGTTAAACTCATCGAGCAAAATGACAAAAGAGGGAATCTAATCGTTATGAAAAGGAGACAAAAAAGTGGCCTCTGATGGCGGACATATCCGGAAATGCAAAGGCGCTAAATTTAAATTTTCCGACACTTATTAACAATAGCTATAAAATATGTTTCAGGCGAGAAAGTTTTAATTAAATATTAACGATAATAGTCTAAAAAGTGATACAATTGGTTAAAAATTTTAATATAAATAAAATTTCATGTGACAGTTGGGACAAACAATAACAACCAAACTAAATTTGATTTCTTAAACAAGGAAAGAGACTGTCTTTCCTTGTTTAAAGTGGCCTCTCAAGATGGCACTTCCTGTCTAACAATATTTTTGTCCCCACTACCTTTACATTCCCTCTTTTGTCTTTTTGCTCGATGGTTAAACCTAAAAGTGCACGCAGTTAAGGAGAAAAGAGCAATAATAAAAATGTTTTATTCATGTTTTATTATTTGTATTATAAAACTATAACATTTGTTATAGTTTTATGTTTAGAAATTATCGTATATTATTATTAGGAATAAAGATCACAGTAACAGTATATTGGAATTCATTGAATTGTTGTATAACTTAACTTAACACGGAATTAAATTTTAGTGTATTAGAATATCTTACTTTAAATAAAGATCAGGTAGTGACAGGAAAAGGTTCGCGCTATTGCCTGAATACAACATTATGCGATTTTTCCTCAACTGAGTACATTTCATTATAATGATCGATTTGTAAACAATATAATTTATTGTTCACAAAGTAATATTGTTCAGTAGTAGTAGTATTTAGTAAAATTCATTGTTTATAATTTAATCATAAAATAAAAAAAATTGACAATTCAAATTGTCAAACATCTGACATGAATATGATAAAACACACACGTTATAATATATTCTTGTATTACGTATGGCCTAACTTTTAGGGGTGGTCTGAAAAATCTATTATATTTTTGTAAAATTTTGAAGTACATTTGATTCGTAGAACGGTTTTAACATTTGTTTTTAATTTAGAACTTAGTCCTCTACAAATAGTTTTTTATGACTTTTGATCTAAAATAATTAGGGAAGCAGCAATTCAACAATTTAAAATTTCCCATTGAGTTTCCTATGGCCCGTTTGACGATTCACCACCCGGTATAACTATAAAAGTTATACATCCTAATCCACAAGGAAACTAAATTCCTGTAGTTGGCTAAAAAAAAAATATTATTATACCTTTTATAAAGGAATTTTTTAAATATGTAAACTTTTTATAAATCTTACTTCTTCTTTGTCAAAATTATAATTATTTCAAAAATAAATTTATTGTAAAATAATAACAGAAACTGTGTTGTATTACTAAGTATATCCAACTGTAATATACCGCTATTAACAAAACACAAAACAGTGACTCATAATACAAAACAAATAACTGTTCTATTTGAAATAGTAGAAAACCCCACGAATCACCTAGGTTAACAACCTATCTAGTCTATCTACGTCTGGCTACGTCACTGCTTTAATGTCATGTACGTTGCGATCGATATAACTTCCGATTATTCTGTCATCAACATCAGGTTCCTAGTTCCGTTTCTGGATGTCTGGTTAACAAAAAGAAAGGACAAAACCGATTTCTGCAGAGGGAGTGCCGCTGGCTAAGATTTTTCCTTTTAAGTTTTCTTTTAAAATAAGCGAGGATGACTGATTAATAATATTTAATAATTACAGATTGTATAAAGATTGAAATTGTGTTATTGCTCGATGTTATTTATAAAAATGCCTAGGGATATAATAAGTAGAGAAGATCGTCGATTTGTACTCAATTGATTTGGAAAATAACGCTTTTCTATATTCTTTTTTTAAAGTATATTTGAGGTCGATTGAAAAGTTTTATATCTTATTCTGAGTATTGTTCTTTTATTTTTTGATAAAACAATAAAAAATACAAAAAATCAAGAGCCACTGTCTTTGCGGTGGAAAGAAAAAGAGATCAATAACTTTTGGCCAATAGTCCAATGGTTGTAGTTAAAGTCTTAACATGGCATCAAGAATCATTTATTCTTTCTCTTACAATAAATAATTTGAAAAATGCTTTGATATCATGTATGCCACCAATATTTCTCGTCTCAATATAAAAACCAGTAAAAAGGTTTCTTATAAACTTACTTGGTCATACAATGTTTCTTCTTCGTATCTGGCCGACTTCGAAAATTTGTTAGAAAAAGGGTATTAATGTTTACCAAAAAGTGAGTCAGTAAGACCCCTTTCAGACGAGGATAATGTATGTGAGATACTGTATGCGAGATACAGAATTTGTGTCTGAAAGCGTTCATTTAATGTAATGTTTCTTCTGTATCTGGCATTCGCTCCGAGGGTTAACAAAGTGTCAAAGCAAAATCGACTGACCTGCTCATGGTGGCGATTGCTTGAAATTTTATCAGGACGCTTTTGTGCTTGGTACAATGAACATATTCATTGTACCATGGATGTTGATCATTGGTTGATCATGTATATATAACCTCACTTTCGTAGATTATGTTAATAAATCTTTATTAACGACAAAAAATATTTTTGTTGAACTATAAATGTCACTATAAATAGATAACTAATTAATTCTAAAACTTGTATCCGGATATTAACACTACAAAATAAAATATTTAAGTTTAACAAAATAAACCCATAAGACTCAATACTAAAACGTCCTCACAAATCTGACAGCGTGTCACGTGACTGTAAATAGAGGGGAGACCATCGAGTTAGAATCTATGGAGAGGGCATCACGTGACTAAAAACGACCTAACTTCGGCCATATTGGTATTATTGTTTTGAAACTTTTGACAGATCGTATATGTTTGGTTATATTTGTTGTTTTTCGAATATTTTCAGTTTTATAATAATTTTATAGAAACTGTATATATATTGTGATAGTGCATAATAATGGTTTCTTGTTCTCGACGTAGTTGCAGTAGCAGAAGTAATGTTAATAAAAAATCTTCAGGAATATCGTTCCACAGGTTAGTATACAAATATGTAAACAAAGTAATGGCCCGTACTTCAGAGAATAAATTAATACTATTTGACTGTATTAATTTATCTTTATATATAATATATCGTGTTTTTAGTGTTTACCGCGGGATAAATAAATCATAGTTTATTAAAAATGTATTGCACTTTTTTAGATTATGATTAAATCTCTAAATAACTATGCCCTTTTTAATACATACGTTAATACTCTAGCTTCTCATAGCTTCTCGAGCTTCTCGAGCTAATAATGCTCATAGCTTCTCCATAGATTCTAACTCGATGGGGGAGACCCACGGAGCGAATACGCATTCGGTATCTCGCATACTGTATCCGTCGCGCGTCCCGTGTGAAAAGCTTCATTTGAGTCTATGCAATATCTGTGTCTCGGATACGCGTATCTCGGATACAGTATCCTCGTCTGAAAGGCGTCTAAGGGTTATTGTTTTTGGAATTTTTATTTAACGGGTAATAAATGTCAGTTTTGTTTTATATTATGCATTTTCTTCGTAAATATATGGCAATAAATGGTTTATTGCTGATAGAAATAACCCATTGGAAAAAAGCGGTAAACATTCTAAAGTCTCTACTATGGTCTAAAGATATTAGATTTCTTCTTCTTCCTAGTATGTAGGCTTTAAAGCCTGTTTCTTCTTCAATATTAGCCTAATAAATTGTTTAAATTGTCGCACCATCTTTTTCTTGGTCTGCCAATACTTCTTCGTCCATTTGGTGACTTATCTCGTGCTATTCGTACTATTCTATCCTCTACCATGCTACTGATATGTTCGTTCCACTCCTGTTTTCGTTTTGTCACCCATCCATTTATGTCTTCTATATTACATGCTCTTATTATGTTTTCGCTTCTCTCCCTATCCAACAGACATCTCCCTGATATTCGTAGGAGTATTTTCATCTCTGTTGTTTCTAGCAGTCGTCTCGTTTTAGATGTATCAGGTATTATCTCCGCCGTGTATGTTAATATAGGTCTAATTGCTGCTTTATAGATTCTTGTTTTTGTGTCTTGTCTTAGGTGTTTGTTCTTCCAGATTGTGTCATTAAGAGAACCCGCCGCTTTACTTGCTTTTAAGCTTTGTTGTCGTACTTCTTCTTCAACATCTTCGTAACTAGTTATATCTATTCCCAGATATCTAAACCTTGCTTCCTGCTTTATTATTTTCCCATCAATTTCGATATTACACCGTAGTGGGTATTTAGATGTAGTCATACATTTTGTTTTTCTGCTGATATTATCATATTGTATTTCTTAGCTGTTGTATTAAAGATATGTGTTAATCTTTCGAGCTCCTCTTCTGTCTCGGCGATTAATGCAGCGTCGTCTGCATAACATAATATTTGGATTTCTTTGTTCCCCATTCTGTAGCCATGACCTTTACGTACTGCTTATATTATTTCGTCCATTATTATATTAAAGAGAAGTGGGCTCAACGAGTCACCCTGTCTGACTCCGCTTTGTACTGGTATACACTGTGTTAGTTTTCCATTTATCTTTGCCTGTATTCGATTTTGTAGATAAATGTTTTCGATGGTTTGTATTAGATTGTATAACATTGATTGTATAACAAGAAACGAAATTGACAATCGATCGAACCTTGGTGTAGCCTATTATAACTTTAGGGCAGAAGTTGGGCAGATCACGAAAAAAGATAGAAAAAGAATAGAAGTAGTAGTAATGGATGTTCTGGGAGCGTGTGGTGTATCCAAAAAGATTATATCAGCAATG